GTTAAAATTATTCATTTCTAAGCAAGAAACTAAAAAATAAACTTCATCACTTTGATTTTCATTGTTTTATGCTTAGACATTATGGGTATGAGGGCGGTTGTCACTTCCCGGCTGCCCACACCGTGGAAGGTTGTTTCTTGAGAGACCTGAAAAGGAAGATAGATTAGTGTTGGTCTTAGAGACCTGGGTGCGTGACCGCAGAGTGGGCACCCTTACCGCCGGAGACGGAAATCCGTGAGGTAGGGTGAGATGTGGCATTTTTAGGGTACACATTTTTTAACTCTTCCTTCCTTGTGAGAAGGCAGCATCGCTGAAGATGTTGGTTGTCCGAGGGAAACACCCTACTGCTGTCACACCCCTCTACAGTCAGCAGTACGACTTCGCCCTCAGACTTTGGGTAGCTGTTTTTAGTCTCATCGTTCTTCAGTCGATCAGCCTGGCATGGCAAAACCTTCTTTCTAATCACTTTCGTTCATTTTGATCAACCTCTGATATCATAAATATATATTCTAAGTGAATATCTCAATATGGTCCTCTGAAAATGCATATTTTTTTCTTGTATATTTTTGAATTGTATGTAATGTAGTTCATATTATCAAATAATGTGACGTAATTCCTGTTACTACAACATATACTTGATCTAACCATATAAAATTATTATCAAGATTGTTATAACTATCCTCATTTGTTATACATTAATTATTACTATCAATAATTTATATTATCAATCCTCCATGGTCATTGCTTCAAGCAAATTGTGATATAACAAACAAATAAATGTTTTACAGTGAATTTTCTGTGAACATATTGGACATTGAATGTTCAAATGTGAATATAAATCAGGATATTTTTAAATTAAATTCTAATTTTTAATTAATTTCATTTAATTTTGATTTATATGACTGGTATATTAAAATTACAGTTGATAAAAATATGTGGAAATTGTGTGTGTTTATATTTGAACTTTTACAGTAATTAATTAACAGCAACTATTTGTTTCTTTACATGAATTGCAAAATGGCTGATTTTCACTTCATCTTTCAAATATCTATCATTTCAGCGAAAGTTACAAGTAGGTTAAACAAAAAAAAAAATACATCTTATTACTTGTAGTATACCAGTAGATACCATGTAATAATAATATTTCATTACAAAAATTAATGGCAGAGAAGGAGAGACAGAGAGAGAGAGAGAGAGAGTCATAGTACATGACTTTTTTTAGTTAATTTAAATTAGAACTCACTGATGGATTAAACTTGAATCATTTTAGTGCTAAAACTGTAATTCAGGTATGTAAGCAACTGTTCTGCAGTGGGGTATCAATAATTTTTCAGTCAGAAAACAATGAACGTTTGAACAAATGAATCAGGTTAAAACAATCGTGGTTTATATTTATCATTCATAGCTTACCGCTATACACTTCTCAAACCTACAGCTCTATAATATTAGAAAATTTAAAAATGTTATAGTTGTTTAGACATGGTTAGCAAAGTCAGTGATAACAGTCTTAATAACCATGTTCTCTAGTAATCATTCAATCTGTAGTTTATTTTCAATTTCGAACTTGGTTTACATTCAGAGTGTGTGCACCTCCTACATTCATTGAGGGCGTATTTCGATAACATTTCAACCAATCACAATATTTCTAATATTTTTGATTGTATCCACAGCATGTAACTTCTTGAAATAAAGAAAAAGAAGCCGTTTTCTGTCTAAATAAACAATAATTGTTAATAATTTCTTCTTCACACTTTGCAATTATGAATCCATAATTATTATTGTTACAGTGTTAAAGATAAGGCAATTGTTCATTTTTAGACATTCTTTGTTCCTATATTCCTTTTTATTTCATTCAATAATGACAACAAACTGTAATGGAAAATTTTTCTAGAAATTATCATATTATGGGTTTGAGAATATTTATCTTATACTAGAAAAGTTTTAGGAAATTTGTACGAATTGTATGAATTTAACGCTTTATAGTTTTTATTGTTATATTATCCCGTGTCAAACTTTATCGTACACTCTCAACGGAAATCATTGAACATGATGCGAGAATAGTTTTCTTACAAATTTCAATTCTGTCTAATACAAATAACATAGAAGTTTTTAGGTTAAATCCTTAATTAGTAGAGACAACAGGGTTTTTTGGTTGTAGATTGAGGTATCAATAGAAACCAAAAATGAGGTTAGGCGGCTATTTTATCTTATTCGGATATTCCTCAGTAGTGCGCTTCTTAGACGTTACTAGAGATAGAATTTGGGCCATTAGAAATTATAACTGCTTTTTGGAACTAGAGAAGAATCAACAGAGGTGAAAATTTACAATTCACAACATCAGAGTACTCAATCCTGTGTATATCTTTCAAATTAAATCAATACACAGTGAACATTTTTGTTATGATTTATTTCATCCTTATTAGTAGATGCCATCGATAATTATCACATTCAAATTTGTTTGTACTTAAATATTCAATTAACATATAGTGAAAATCCATTTCATTTATTCGAACAGCATAAAATAATGTAAAGTATTTGAGAGATAAACAACCAGCAGAGTTACAAAGGGTTGAAAAGAATCTTTTTGTACTATGTTTTTGACATTTTTTTCTACCCTTATGCGCTAATAATCATGTAATAGGTACTATCTTTTAACTAGTTTTTACATCATTCATTCATTCATTCATTCATTCTGTGTTAGTGGATACATCTCTCGGAACAATAATATAATTGCTAACATAAATCTTCCCTTATTTTATTATATTGGAAAAGAAATTACATGAATAATGATACTCTCTTATTTAGTGTACAAAACAGAAGTGAAAAGTTATTATTTTTTGCATCCATTTGAATCCGTTTATCAACTCATTCATTGTTTTTTTTACTAGTTCAATTTGAAATAATTTTTATTACAAAACTAAAAATTAATCATTATCACTAAACGTATTGCATTATTTATGTCTTCTTGCAAAATCATACTCTTATAAGTTGGTAACTGAAAAAAAAACATTAAGATGAGTGAAACACCTTTGTTGTATCAGTTTGAAACTTGTCAATGTGGTATGTGTGACTGACTACGTTCATGAGTGATGACTTGACTATGAAATATGTTTTTTTGGAAAATCATCTACTTCAGTTTACATAACAAGGCAATAATCATTAAATTTTACATGATGAGTATATGAAAGAGATTTGGCGATATAAAGTATGTACTTACTTCTTAGATGTTTCGAATTACAGTAGTTAGGATATTACTTTGGTCTTGGGAAACTATAATCCTATGATTTAAGATTTAGATTTCATTTTGCTCTTGATAAATCTCAACTGTAATATAATTAGAGTTTTTGAGATGGTGGAGAAAACTTGTAGCTTAGGTGGATGATTGTGGTGGTGTTTCGTTCTCTGAGCTGCTCAGAGTTGCGAGTGAATAAACGCATGGAGCTCTTCTAGACTTACCATCGATCCTATATCCGGATAAAGGAAGAGAAGAGATTCTATCGACTCAATCATTCATAGGTCAACGGCATATGTTCCATTAAGAATAATAGGCGAAAGTAAGTCTGTAAGTCTGTACTTACTAATTTTTAATATTTCTCTAGACAGTTAAAAAAAAATTCATGTCTAAATTTAGATAATCTATTCAATATTCAATTAAATGACTTAGTATTTTACATTATACTTACTATTCATTGGCATATAACATTAATTTTTATTGTCGGGTAGTTATAATCAATAGGAAAAAATATATATAATGTGAATTTATTCATCATAACAAATTTCAATGTTCCATTGTCCTTTTTCAATAATAATGTACTTCACTTCTCTCTCTGGCTTTTATTTAAACAATCACGGCGCAAAAACTGTAAAATCATTATTTTATGATTAGTTTTATATCAGTGAAAAATATATATATAAAGGGAATACTTTGTGTGTGAATATATATACGTATGCATGCGAATATATTTAAAATAATATAACATTTAGATATGCACATCAAATGTGACTAGTATATAACTACTATACTAAAATGTAGTATATGTTAGTACACCTGTCTATGTTTCTGTATATAAATATGAGTTGCGTTGTATGTTTTATCTTCAAGAGTTATAAGGAAAGAAATGTCACTTTATTTCACATCATGTTTGTGTTGAATTGTAGGTAATTTTATTATTCCTATCCTAATGGTTAACTCTACTGCCACAACAACAGTCGTTTCGTCTTCTATTAACAATATTATTATTATTGTTATTATTATTGTTATTGTCATCATCAATATTATCACCTTCATAATCGCCGCCACCTTGTACCAATTTAAGTCTGCTTTTATGATGACTGTAATCTCGTTTTTTTTTTTTGGGGGGGGAGGGATTATTAAAATACTATTACTCTTATCCTACATATTTTCAATCTACTAACCTTTTATTCAATGTAATAAAAAGTAATTTTTGATTTTTATTAAACAGCTGATTTCTTTTAAAAATGTATGTTTTTTTTATATATACCCGTGTATTTATCGGTGCATGTAGCCTATTTGCGCAGAGAATAACTGTACACTTGTATGCGCATTTATGTGTGTGTGTGTGTGTGCAAAATGATTATTCTCTTCTAATTTCTGTTTGTGTATTTATCACAGAGAAATTCCACACTTAGTTTGCTGTATTTAAAATTGTACTTGAAAGGTGCGTGTGAGAATAAAAAAATTAATTATTTTTATTACTACATATTAAAAGTAAAATAATAGTAATGATGCTTACTATTACTATTATTGTTCATGTTTATGTTCAGTGATAATCACTGGAAAAAGAGAACACCTGTTGTTAATTCTAAGCAAAAGTTCCGTGGAATGTGTGTGTTTGTATGCTCAGGCTATATTTTCATGGATTAGTTTATTTGAAATAGATGTTCATGTACATACATACTACATGTGAACATAATTTTCCATGTATCCATTTAATAAAATTCGATTGTATAAATGTGTGTCTATGTAACTGGAAATGTATTTACTGTAGCTGTATTCCTTTTAAACTCATACTGCTCCTTCTCCTGATACTACTACTACTACTACTACTACTACTACTACTACTACTACTACTACTACTACTACTACTACTACTACTACTACTACTACTACTACTACTACTACTACTACTACTACTACTACTACTACTACTACTACTACTACTACTACTACTACTACTACTACTACTACTACTACTACTACTACTACTTTGAACAAAGACGGTAAGGCTAGTTGGAATAATTGGTTTATTGGAAGATGACACAATTTACTGGTTGCTCCATACTTCCGGTTCCAACATATTTCGCTTCAGCAGAAACTTCAAGGCGATATCGCATACTGATTATAAGCCATATTTTGAGTAGTGTACACCACACTACTACTGCCATAACCATATTATTTCGTAACTATTAACAATAGGTTTGAAAATTTGATATATGGGCTAAAGTAACTTTTCATATTTCACACAAGTATGCGTAAACTCATCACTGAGTTGTTATAACTTTCTAGTTTTCTAGTTCTTAATATTTATCGAATGTGTATTTGTCACATTTTATAATTTTAGTTGTTTGAAATTAAGTAATCAGAAGTAATCGGATCAAAGCAATGGACTTGTATTTCTTTCAGACTGACATTTGTTCACAAACTGTATCTGATGGAACTATTGCTTTCCTTTGCTATTACAACTGTGAATTTCACATGGGAAATTAATTTTACTTGTAAGGTATTCTGATTGATTTGAGGATTACTATATTCTATTACTTGTCTATCAGTAAGTTGTTTACGAACTATCTATATATAAGCAGTCGATTCTTACAGTTAGTTAAGATAACTACACTAATTTGTTGGCGCTATATCCTTTGGAGTGAAATTAGCACTGATCTGATAATGCTGTCCAAGTGGACAATACAATTCTCCTTATTTAATCATATAGTTCAAAGAATGTACAATTCATCATTCTGTGTATACAACTAGATTAATCCAGTTAAAACATTTCGCTAATTGATTAATGTTATTTTG